ATTTTTTGGGTGGGAATTCGTAACCACTCCTGATGCATCATGCTTACCCAATTGCTACGTGGCATAATGCCCCAAAATGCATTTAGTCAATCAAAACATGCAGGTCCTGTAACTAAGGTACATATCATGTAGCTCAGTGGAAAGCACATTAGAACAACTCTTCTGAGTCAGAAAAGATAACCGCCTCTTCTAGATCATTGAAAATTGCTTGTAATTCAGCCACCATTCCAATTTCATTTGTGAATCCGAAAGTGTATGTAACCGACCATTATTGTTAAAGGCACCTCCCACTACTCATGAATTTCTTGGTACAGTTAACATCCAAGTTAGCAATTCTGGCAAATCTGACTTCACATCCTGCCAAACATAATATTGCAACATCAGCAAATGGGACAATAAAACATCAATTTGCGCCTATCTAGGGAGCCCAGGACGTAACACCAAATTTGTCTTGGAAAATCTGAGAAACCCGAGATATATTAATTACGGTGGCGTTATTCTCCAACATGGCAGCTGCCTTTGAATTCTTCTTTGTAATCACCACTCAATCAGTACATGTGATGAGCGTAGTAGCTGAGCCCAACAAACCAATTATCCTCACGCCCACTAATCTGTGTCCCAAAAAGAAACCATATAGACAAAAAAGACAAAATACAAACATGGTTAACAACGATCCAACCTGCACCAACTGTCTAAAATCAGCACTAAAAAAAAGTGCCCCAGAAAACTAGCGTGTTCTGAACTGGAAAGCGAAAACACACAGAATTATACAACTACAAACAATGAAATAGAACGTAAAACAAGAATATATACTGATACATAAGCAGTACATCGTATTAATACAAGTATAATAAACAATGCCAACGTAGTCCAACCCAAGATCACGGACTTTACTCCAGCTTCCACGTGCACTCGCAAAGATAACACAGAACAAGCACCAACTATAGATATGAAGCGAAAACACATAAGTACATCAACAGACATCTCAAGCCATCTATCAGATAATGAAAGTGTTGCATCAGATGACAGAGGTGACGTCATCAAGAAAGACAGCAGAACACGAAAGGCCAGTAAAACAACAGGTAGAGAAAGGAAAAGAAGTAAAAAGGGGAGACAGCGTAGAAGGTAGAAACGTAAATTATATCTCTGAATTGTAGAGGTCTAAGAGGTAAAGATAAACGAAGTCAAATATTGTGATGGTGCAATGACCAGAAAGCGAATGTAATATACCTCCAAGAAACGTATTGGGATGAGAAAATAGTAGATACTATTAATAGAGAATGGAAGGGAAAGATATTCCACTCGTTTGGCACATGTCATAGTAGATGGGTGTCAATATTAATTAACGACAAATTAGACAGGGAAATTATAAGCACAAAACGTAGCAATGATGCTGGAAAGTTACTTAAAAATATGGAATATAAAGAGAATATATTAACACCTGTTAATCACTTTACGCTAAAAAGTTATAGGGGATGATAATTGTGTGCTAGCCCCAGTTTAGATAGGCGAATCACCAGTTCTAGGATTGTCAAAACAAAAAAGCTTTTCACTTTGATCAATACCTTGAAGCTGAATGATATATGGCGGGAATTGAACCCAACAAAAACACAATTTACGTGGAGACTGGTTACACTGGGGATTGCGTCTGGTTAATATCGATTTATTGTCAGTCATCCAATCCACAGTCATCAGACCCGCTATTAAAGCCGATCAAAATGGCATATCAATAAAATTTAGTATGAACAGATTTAAGAGAGGCCCGGGGTATTGGAAATTAAATACTGGCTTATTAGATGATGACAATTATAAAGATGTAATAAAACAATAAAAGATGCAGTAAGTTACATATAAAAACAAATTCGAAAAGTTTCAATAAAATATTGAAAAAAAAGGCAAAATCGGCAGGAAAATCTAGAAAATCAATTAAGAGAAACTGAAACAAAATTGGATAAGCAGTGGGATAACAATGGGAATCTGGAAAAGAAGTATTTGGAACAAAAAAGGAAATTGGAGAAGTGGTATGTGAATAAATTACGTGGAGTTCAAATTCGTTCTAGAGTGAAGTGGTATGAAGAAAGGGAAAGAAATACCAAGTATGTTTTGTGATTAGAAAAAAATATATAGAGAGACAAGCATCTAAACAAGTTGATGAAAAATGGTAAAATAATAACAAATCAAATATTGCAAGAGGAATTGGAATTTTACCAGGAATTATATACTTCTAAAGAAGTGGATAAGGCCAAAATACAAAATTATTTCAGTAAGATTAAATTAAAGTGAATTTTAAGGAGAGAAGTGCAAAGGCCTCGTTGCCGAGGAGTAATGTCGTAGGGCTGTATGGAAAATGAAAATAATAAAAAAAAACTAGAGAAAAAATGAACTGTTGGAAAAAGCCTTTCTTGTCAGTCTTTGGTAAAATAAAAAAGTGCTAAAAAGTTTCATAATGCCATTAATTATATATACTGCACCAATGATAGTTTCGCATTTCAAACACATTTCAAAAAAAGTTCAACATTTATTTTATGAATTCTTGTGGGGTGGAAAACAAGAAAAAGTAAAAAGACAAATAGTAATTAGCAATTCTGAAAACGGGGGACTACAAGTGGTGGATGTTGAGGCAGCGATACAGGCATTGCATTGCTCCTGGATAGATAAGTTTAGTAAAGGGAGAAACGAAACGTGAGCAACTATCGCTGAGTGCTATTTCCATGACTTTGGGGGCTGTAATCTGGTTTTCAAATACGATTTAGACAGGGCGGGTCTGAATTACATAACACAAACTCTACCAGAATTTTATCGGGAAATATTTAATAGTTGGTATGAATTTAAGGAGAAAAATGAACATTTAGAACAAAGCTCTGAAACGACCGGCAAACAAATACTGTGAGGTAATAAATACATAAAAAGTAGGGGGGAGTCGTTATTTTATAAAGAGTGGATCAGTTCTGGACTCATTTGTATTAATGAAATATTCCAAGATGGTGACTTTATACAAGTGGATTCACTATTAAATACACTTGCAAATAAAAGGGAATGGATTACACAATACAGTGAATTAAAAAGTGCAATGCCCCTGCAATGGTTTGACATTATGAATAAAAAAAAATAAGTAACACAAATTAAATAGTAATGATTTATTGTGATATACGCAGAGAAATCCTATGCTCCTGTGATCTGGGACAAACATGAAATATTTAGTACAAGAACTTGGAATATAAAAGTAAAACAGATTCCATGCAAAAAAATTAATTACATATGGATGTACAACAAGATTCTACATTCCCATAACCTGCAAAAGTCGAAAATCTCTAGTACAGCAACGTGTGAAGCAGACAATTGTGAACATTTTTTTTTATTGTAACATAGTAAAACATTTTTGGTATTCAATTGTAGTATTGCTGAACCATATTGTAAAAACTAAATACACCGTGGAGTCCGATCTATTTAATCTTATAATATCAGTTGCTCCTTTTGCAATATACAAGGCACTAATAATTAAACAATGGAATATTCAAAGATACTTTGTGGACGAGTTATATCTTAACTTTAAAAACAGAATGAAGTTTTAAAAGAAATTATTAACTGTATATAAAAGGGTAAAAACGTATAAAACAGAATAAAAAAATAAATAAATGACAGTTAGCATTTCAGTAAATAAACAGTATCCCAATATGTCATGGAAATGACATTCTGGATCTAAAAGTGTGTCCATATTGCAGCATTAATGAGCATTGTTCATAAATCATATTCTAATATGCATATTAGATATTCAATATTTACAGGGTAATTATTTAAGGAAAAGTCAAAGCTAACAACATAATACTCCTAGATGAAAGAGCTCGGCAAATGTAAGAACATGCATTTTACAGTTTGTTTATATAACATTTCATTCTCTAGATATTCAACTTTATTCAACCTGTATTATGTAGTCCACCATCTTGGTTCTTCAGCAAAGGATTAAGGGTAAAGTATGACATCATATCCACTGTTGTCAGAAATTGAGAAAATGATTTCAATTATAACTTTAAAAGTTGAACTTCAAAATGGCAGAAAGTTTAGAACATGGTAGCATGCCTGTACCGGTGCCACACATGCATATAAGATAGTTGTCATAGCAACAGTTTTGAAATCATTATTTTTTGTGTTTTTCTGCCAAATGCTCAAATTTCCTAATATTGTATACAATTTATCGATGTGAGTAGGTCATATAGGTGATATATAACCTGTGTCATTCTATTTTAACAACTAAAATAATGATTTTTATTTTGTTTACGTTTGTGGCAATATTTTCACTTTATTTGTATTTGTAACATTCTAATTTTCATTACTATAGTGATATATATGAGTCAAATGCACACCGAAAATTTGAACAAATTCGCATCAGTATTTCTCACCTTATAAATGAAAGCATGTTCTCAAACAGAGGATATGATGAATCAAGATGGCTGACTACATAATATTGGTGAAGAGTCAAATATTTAGAGAACGAAAAGTGATATACAAAAACTGTAAATTGCATTCTCCTAAATTTAGGAAGCATTATGTTGTTTGGCTTGACCTCCCTTTTTAACTCAAAATAAAAATCCTAAATATTAACATAACATATAGTCACTCTGTAAATTCGCTTTAAACTACTCTCATAAGAGAAACCAAGTTCGAGTACGTGTTAAATAGCAATATTGTACAACTATTAGCGCATATATCGGTGTCCAACAAGTTTATTTCCAAGAGGTTAGTTAAGCAACACACCATATTAACCACTTACTCCTCAAAAACATTCTGATGTGTACTATATGTATTACGATGATTGTCCCAATTCTTCATCACCTACACGGTACATTTCATTGTCAAATGCTTTTGCTACAAAATAAAATAGTAATAACACATTAAATAAATAAATTGTGTTGTGATATATGTGCTAATATGTTTAACAAACGTTTCATTTCATGAAGTTACTATCAGAGATAGAACATACAATGTTAAATGTTAACAAAGCTGGTCTTGCGTATCGCTAGACACACCAAACAAAATAATTTGTCCGAGTGATGTGTTCTTAAAATTGTTACCTTGTACTGTTGCCGCATCCACATTCCCTGCTCTGTTACGATTACATAATCCTCCAAACCATCTGCGGACAGTCCTGAATAATAAGATTATTCAATACTGTATTAGTCTAGTGGACACTCAAATTGAAAGGCAACAGGTGTAATACACAAGCAATGGAAATTAACAAGTCGCTTACTGTAGGTTTCAAAGCCACAACCTCCTATAGGTCTCAAATGCTAACCATTGTACCATCCAGTCAACATCAAAACAGCATGAACTAAACTTGCAATATTTCACATTGATACATATTGTGGGTACCATCATCACGAAATTGTTATATATTACGCTTTGTTAGTTAACGTTACTTAAAAATGTTATTACGGAACAATGTTTAAATTACTGAATACGGTATGGCGGGGGTTATTGCTATTATATTATACCAGTATATTGACTAGTAGTTTACTTGCATCTACTATAAGATTATGATTATGACCCTTTGACATGAATATTTATAAGAATACTATGTAG